CAATACTTATACAATATGGTGCCGGCTTAGTTTCGTCAGCAAATGTAAGTCAATAAACGGCACAAGATAAAATATTAATTCAACATAAGATATAGTAAGACTACTATAACAGCGATGAAAGCGGAAATATCAAAAAACGACAAAACTCTCGCATAACCAAGTGTTGTTTTTTTTTGTGCAGAGTTTCGAAACCTAGTTGGAGTTTGCAGTTGCTCGCTCAGAATGACAAGCCGAGAATATTTTGCGGATTCGTACGCAGTTCACGTGACTTGGTCTAACTTGCGAATATAAGTCAACGCGTGAGTTTCAATCAGCTGATCGTGTTCAGCCGAGTCGCTGGTAAATATTATTTCTTCTGTAATCACGTGAATAGGTTGTATTTATCCACGAGAATGACTTCGCTCGACAAATGAGCAAATCTCCGATAACGTTTCGACAGTTTCTGCTCGTGCCGCAAGCACATCAATAGCTTTTCAAACGAGCATCTATGCGCTCCGAAAGCTAGCGGTTGTTTTCTCTGTTCTGCGAATAGCGCAAATACGCTTCGATTGAACAATAAAAAAGTATCTACGTGTTAAATATATTGATCTCATATTATATACATAAACTTAATGTATGTATAATATATATGTATAATACAAATTATACACACATATCTAAATTTGTAGCAATTTATAGTAATAATGTGCCGTGTTACTGACATAACTTGCTATACTACATAAATTGTATTATATTGCAAAATGTCATGGAAAGATTAAGGTTTATTCTTACTAAAATTACATTACATTATTACTATCTATTGAGATTTTAGTTAGATATTGATGTAATTTTGAAAATCGTTACTAGAATTAATGTTGAAGATTTATTGAAGTCATGATTGTGGCGCAGACACGACGAGAAAAGAACAAAGGATTTATTGATTATGGCTGCGTTTTGATATTTAAATACTATTATTTTTTACAAACTGCAAAATATTTATACTTTGCGTCACGTGTGCTATAAATTTCCAGTACTTGCAGTGAATATCAAATGACAACTTAGAGAAGCATTTACTACATATTAAATTCTTCTTCTACAACAGTTAATCGTGCATCGAAACTCAATTCTCACTAAACTGGCGAGAAAACAGTAAGAGGAATTACTTTAGTAAGTTGTTAACTGTTCAAGTAAAAAAATTTATGACATATTAACGCGAAAGCCAATATAGATCATTTTACCAATGTACAGTAGTGTGTCCGTGAATATACTACTCAGCTATATTCTCATCGTATTGCTGAAATCAGAATAATTTTTCACTTAACATGTCTGTAAGTTACAAAAAGTTGCAACGGTTTCTATACACATGAAAGGAAAGGAATATTAAATGTATACTAACATGACGCATATAATAATACTACTTGTGTACTGTTAAATTATCAGGGTCGACAAAGATTTAAATTTTGTGAACGTCTTCCGCCTGTAGAAGTAATTTACTTGCAACAAAAGAAAATCTTGTTTTTTTTTGTTGTTTTCTAATCTTTGTATATTATTTTAATTGCAATTTTAGAAGACTTTATATATACTAAATTATTTTTTAAATAAACCATTTTGTTACTAACTGTCTACTAAATAGTGAAAATACATATTTCGAAACTCAAAATTCTATACACACGTACATGTACATACTGCAACCTTAGTAAGGTCGTTTTCCCCACTACAAACGTTTACGTCGTGCCATGTATTTATTATTTTACGGAAGCGACTGTCTTGTAGTTATTGATCATTTCTCCAAGAGACAAGATCGTAGATATTCTTAGGCAATTCGGATTTAAACTTATATAGTGATAATACGTATAAAGTGGTTAGTAAGATTTATATTTTAAAAAGAAGAGATATTATCTCAAAAATGGTAAGTTATGAAAAGCTCGTATATTATGTGTTAAGTATTCATATTTATTGTTGTCAAATATATCTTCTAGTTTCCACCACACGCTAAAACTGTATAAAATCTAGTATACTTTCTTTATATTTATAAAAGTTATATCACTTTTGTTTTAACATTTATTGTATAAATTTTAATACTTGTATAACTAAATCATACATCAATATTACATAACTACTACAACATTTAAATCTATCATAGTTACATTAGCAATTTGCAATGTGTGACATACTATATAATTAAAACGCGTTCAAAAAATGTAGACAAACTTTTCAAGTACAACTTTGCTCGTACAAATAATATTTTGTCAAAATTGTTTAGCACATTTTTTACTTTCGTTTCTTCAATCGTCCTTCTATACGTCACATTAACGCAATCATGACAACTATTATGTAAGTGTACGTGTATGCGTACGTAAGAAATATAAAAACATCGAAACCAAGTGATAAACATTTCTTATAACGGTCATACACGTCTGTCCTTGACAAGTATACCTGAAAAAAAATTGACATTTGATGTGTACATATTAAATTTATTTGTCGGGCCTTTATTTGCATATGCATGTCTTGTTTAACAAACAAAATAATTTTCTAGATGCACAGTATGCAGATGTTTACATTCTTTGGAACTTTCTGTTTAATATTTCTACCTATATTTGCTTTTTCAACTGATGAAAAGTTATCTCAAGACCAACAATGTATACAACCGATTGAATATATTATGAATATTTCAGCG